GGCGCGGGTTTGCAGTCCCCACGTGGTCATCGTATCTTGATAGATTGTCTTGAAAGAAACAGAGGCTTCAAGAAAACAGAAAAGTGCCCTGGTAAGAAACAGGCAGGAACATCATGCCGAGGCATCCTCTTACCATCGCAGCAAGGCACCTGCTTGTTCTTCGATGGAAGCAGGGCTGTCCTACGTGAGTGTCCTGAGAAACTTGCACCCTGTCCACCGACAGTCCTCATTTGACCCCTTCAGACTTCTCTTTGTTCCCAAAGCTCAAAGGACATTTAAGAGAATGCAATAGGAGCTCTTTCATGACGCCAAAACAGCTGTTGCGACGCAGCACAAACTGGAGCGTGCAAAGCCCTTTGGGGAAGCTTAGAACAGTGGTACTCAACCTTCCTAATGCCGCGACCCTTTAATACAGTTCCTCATGTTGTGATGACTCCCCAACCATAAAATTATTTTCGTTACTACTTCATAACTGTCATCTTGCTATGATTATGAATCAGGCAACCCCTGTAAAAAGATCGTTCAACACCCCCAAAGGGGTCGTGACCCACAGGTTGAGAACCGCTGGCTTAGAGAGATGGGAACACCACCTCCAGACGTGGACAAGGAGTCAGTAGCTTCACATTCTGATGCTTGTTTAATACGGTTTCTACTATTTTATAGCATTTTAAAAATAATCCTCCTACAAAAAAATAATAATAATCCTCCTACAATTCAATAAGAAAACAACCTAGTTTTTCAAAAAGTGGGGCAAAGGTCTGAGCAGTCATTTCCCAAAGGAGAGAAACGCATAGCAGACCTGCACAGGCCAGCAGTCAGAGACGGACCTCACCCAAGTTGGCAGGGGTGTGGAGGAACTAAAGCGCATTCTCTGCCAATGGGAGTGGAGAACGGGACGACCGTTCAGGAAAGCGGTGTGCCAGTCCCTAAAGGGAAGCAGAGGCCTGCCATATGACGTGACCACTCCACGCTCAGCTATTTTCCTAAGACAAATGAGAACACACGGCCACACAAGCCTTCTCCGTGAGTCCTCTCACAGCCTTGATCACACAGCCAAAACTAGAGACACAAACTCCCACAGGGAAGAAGGACGTGCACTGTTGACATGCAGACCACACGGAGGGACCTCAAAATCATGCGCTGAGTGGACAGAGGCAGCCAAGACGAGGACACACAGATTCCACTTACAGAAAAGCAAACTTGCCAACAGGGAGGAGGTGGGGAAGAGGGAGCGCAGCCTTCAGGGAGACAGGGTGATGAGTCACCTTCTTGCCTGGGGAATGGGGAATGGGCACAGACCCATCGGAACCAACCAGAGCTTCACTCCGATCTCACTAATGCTGAGCTGAGGGGAGGGAGGGGACACTCATTCCTGCTGCCACTCACTGGAAGAGCCGCTGCCTGTTGAGCACGTAGAGCAGGTAATCGGCGATGGTCTCCTCACCCACCAAGTGGTCCAACACCGTTCCTGGGAAGCCCATCATCCCTGGATAAGTCACACAGCAGCCAGCCCTGTGCCCCAGTTCACCCCTCAGCCCAGCTTTATGTCCCCAGTACACCCCTCTACCCAGCTCTATGCCCCAGAACACCCTTCAGTCTGGCTCTATGCTCCCAGTTCACCCCTCAGCCCAGCCCTAACACTGGTGGCCAGAGCAGACAGACAGCATAAAGTCCTGGAGGGTCCTGGGCTGTCACCTGCCCTTGCTCCTCTCTGTAAAGGGAGGATGGGGAAGCCCCTCCCAAGGTGGTGTGAGGCCCACGGGGTTTGAAGGGGCCCAGCACCTGGTGACCAGGAGCTATGTTGAGCCCTCTCCACCGCCATGCAAGGGTCAGGCAGTAGCCAGGGCAAAGGTCAGCTCCGTCCAGGCCCCTGATAAATGGGGGCAGCTCACCACACAGGGCCAGCTTCAAGCCAGTCTCCACACTCTCGATCCGTGGCGCCAGCACCCCAGGGGTGTCCAGCAGGAAAACCAGGGGCCGCTCACACACCTGCACGGGAGAGTCAAACAGGCACTTTAGACACAGACCCGCTGTGGCCACCAGGCTCGGGGTCCACAAAGGGCGGGTTACCAGCCAATCCATAGCAAAACCAGGGCTGGACTCCTGGGTGGGGGAGAGGGGCTGGCAGCCTCTAGGCTTGTTGAGGGGTAGGCAGGGTGAGGAGTGCAGAAGGGGGTGGGATGTGTCATCCAAGGAGGCCAAGAAAGTACCACCCTGCCAAGGGCTGTACCTGGATTCTGGACATCACAGCTCTGGTGACTCCGGGCATGCTACCCACCCTGGTGGCTTTCCCTGCAAGACAGAAGGACAGTCAGGTGTGCCTCGAGCAGAGACACCCAGACACCGCAGAATGTTCCAGGAGCACATGAAAGATCCAGTCTGTACCCTCGAGGTGCCTCGCAACCAGAGGCCAGGTATGTCATGATGCTACGAACCCAAGAGGTTTAAACGAAGGAGAAAGCAAAACTGTCAGAGGTCCAGAAAAGCCATTTCCCCCACAGATCTTAAAAGCAGGTGCCTATAAAGCCTACACCAGATGGTGCTGGGTACCACATAGCCCAAGTCAGGCAGTAAGTGAACAGAGACTGGGACTGCCCCCAACACACGGGGAAACCCAGGCTCTGTTCTGACCCATTCATACCTTTCCTGAGGTGCAGCCTCCTAATGGCATTGATGAGGGAGGACTTGCCCACGTTGGGGACCCCAATCACCATCACGCAGTACTCCAAGTTCTGTTGGGGTCAGGAGAGCAAGTTCACAGTCTCCCCCAGACCCCGGCCTCCCAGAAGACCTGCCAATCCCAGAGGGGAAGGGGACATCCCACCCCTTCCCACTAGGGTCCTCCGCCAGCAGGAGGGACAGGTGATCAGTAAGGCTCTCGCTTCCCAGTCTGCCCCATCTAACCTCTCCTCGGTGATAGCGGCAGCTGCTCCTGATCAGTTCTGTGACTGCAGGGATGACCTGCGGGCAAAGGCACGTGCACACGCAGTGAGACACACATGCAACAGGCACACCGTGACAACAGGGCACACAGACGGGACAGGAACCGCCTACCTGCCCGATATTCTCGTCCTTCACACAGTTGGTAAAAATGACATTTCTCCAGCCTGCTCCTTCCAAGTGCTGCAGAATTTTCTGAGAAACACAAAGGGTTTCCATTTTAAATGCAAGAGCACACCATGGAGACTGTACAGCCTTCAGACTGTGCAGCCCACGCCATGCTATCCCCAGGCCCATAGACCAGACCAGAAGCTTCAGCACAATGCAGCCAAGAGCACACAGGCCGATGAGCCCTCAAACACACTTGAGTGACAACACAAGCCCAGCAGTCATGCCCCTGGGAAGCCCACGTCACTTGGTTCGGGTAACCGTACCCCAATAAGCACCAAAGGGCATGAGACAGCTGCCCCAACTGTTATCCAGCCACAGGAAGGGCATGCATGGAAATGGCCCAGAGGCCAGGGCCCAAGGCTGCTCTGTGCCAAGGTGTGGCCTGAGACAAGAGGACACCAAGCACTACCAAACGCATTTCCCGAGCCCAGAGCCGAGAAATGTCCTGCGCTGGATGGCGGCCAGAGGGGAATCTCTCACTACGCTGGGCTTTGCCCAACACCTCAACAAGAGCCCTTCGGGCCAGCAGACTCTGCGGTGCAGAAGGCAACCAGCAGGGCCCAGGTCTGCACAGGGGTCCACAGGCTGCCTGCCCAACACTACACCACGTGCCCACTGCAGTTGCTGGGATCTAATCAAACTCGTTAACATCCAGTAACTCTAAAACCCCACCCCATCGCACCCCCGCCTTGGCAGCTCCCACGGTGCTCAGAACCCAGGGGCCAGGGTGACCTCAAGGCAGAGCCTGGGCCTGGGCCCCTTGCAGGGAGAGCTCTACACACCCACGCTGACCACTGCCAGGCCAGGTCAGAAGAGGGCACAGCACCCCAGAAGCTGCCCGCACCTGCTGCTCCCGGAGGTCAGCCAAGTCCATCTTGTTGAGGACAAGCAGGTGTGGCCTGAGGCCCAGGGCTTCCTTAAACACAGGGTTGCGGCCAGAAAGGGGAATGTTGCAGAATTAAGGAAAACACCTCAGAAACTTCCTGGCCAATCACACAGCTTGCCCTGCAGGGTACTCAGAACAGGGACTTCTGACAGGCCGCTGGCCACCAAGCCTAAACTGAGAGGCGCCCAGTGCCGGGGAAGGCGTGGCTTCTCGGTGGCCAGACACCAGAGGCCACACGCTACGTCCTGTGGGCCATGGAGGACAGGCAGGGCAGCGGCATCACCAGGTTGTTCCAACAGCAGTGTTGGCCACAGTGGTACCTGCCCAGGGAGGCTGCCCAACTAGACTCTGGTCAGCTGGCCGGCATGTGCTCAGGCTGGGCACCCCAGACTCTGAAGCGGAAAGCAGTAGCTGCATCCACTCCCTCTAGAGCCCCTGACCCAAATGACTCACTGGGGTGGGGGGTGGGGGACGCCACCTAGTATAACAACTGCCCAGGCAGAGGGTCCTCAGCCCCTTGCTGGGTTCCCCTCCTCTCTCTCTAGCTAGCTCCCAGAGCCCAACCTCTGGCAGGCCCACTCAAGGTACCCTGTAAGATGCAGCACCCCACAAAAATGCACTTGCCCTGAAACCAACCTGTCCGGAGCTAGCTCAGGGTACCAAAGACTCTCCTCCGTCCCCCTGCCTCTCCTTGGACTTAACAGGCCACGAACCATACTTAGGGCTTCTCAAAAGCCTGGCTGAGAAGGGGCAACATCAGGAGAAAGATGCCCTCTGGTTGCAGGATACTGATCACTGTAGTTATCTTAATCACAATTAAAAAGCCAGTGAATGCTAGCATGAGCCCCAGTGGATGGTTGCAGTGAAGACATTCAGGGCCTGACTGCAGGCACTCTGGAGTGAGCCCATAGGCTACAGGAAAACTCAATCGACACCAGCACCACCATGCTGGGAGCCTCACCTGGGGGGCAAAAGCAGGGCCTGAAGCGTGTACTCCTGGTCGGGCATCAGCTGTGCCCGTAGCCCCCTTCAAGCCCCTGGGGCAGGGGACACTACTGATGCACCCACAGGAGCTCAGACCACTCTGACATCCAGAACTCACACCTGAGATTCTGACTCAATTGGACAGGATTGGGGCCCAGAGATTTTTAAGCCTCCCAGGAAATTGCATGTACCACTCAGGTGAGACCCGCTGCTTGAAATGCCAGTAACTGCCACAGGTGAGGCTGAGCTCTGTGGTGGCACTGAACCAGGTGGGATCCAGACAGCAGGTGGGAGAAAACAAGGTGCCCCTGTGAAAGGATATTCGGGCGTCGTGGACCTCAATGATGCAGTCCACCATCTTCAAGCAGCTCTGCATCTTCTTCAGGCCTAAACAGTAGGAGACAGACGCGTCAGGGAGAGGCCCAAGGCAGACTGGACTCAGAAAGACCGCCATAAACAACCTAAAGGGGTACCTCTGGGGAACACCAAGTGGCCACAGCTGTATGCCAAGTGCTGCCTTCTCCACAACAGCACACGTCCTCTGCTGGGCGGAGGGGCTAGTCTCGGGTCAAAACGTCCCCTGCAGAGCCAGCCCCCACTTGGCACTGGGTGACCTTGGATGGAATCTTTAACCTCCAACGGTCTTGAGTCCTGGGTACAGCTGTTCAGAGGAGGGGCTGGTGCAAGTCCTAACCACACAGTCCTCCAGCACTAAACATGGCCCTACCCAGGAACCCCAACATTCAACACACCGGTCCCCAACATAGACACAGCAGCACGCTCCCCTAGTACCTAGCGGCAGCGCCACCTGCAGGCAAAACAGTGCTGGTGGTGCTCTGGGTCAAGTGTCAGGCTGCTCACTGCAAGGTTGGCTGTTCAAACCCATCAGCTGCTCCAAGGACATGGAGGCTGTACGCTTCCAGGAACCCTCTAAAGTCTAAAGGGTCAGTCATTTGGGTGAGAATCAACTTGAAGGCAGTGGGTTTGGGGTCTGCAATAATACCACGTCCAGCCAGTGGCCGACCTCAGGCCACTTCTACTCCCTGCCACCACGGAGTTCCTTGTCCCTGTGGGACACCGACTGCACACCAGCGGTGAGCAAAGATGTGGCTGGTCTGTACTGCTTGCTCTGAGATCAACAAGGGGGGACAGCAAAAGCCCTGGGAGTCTTTGTGGCGCCAGGTTTTGACAGGGGCCCAGAGACACTTAGGCAGGAGAGAAACACGACTCAAGACACGTTGTAAAGGAATTGAGGTGGTGACGGGTCATCTGTGATTTGAAAAGTACTTTCACACCCACTCTTCCATTTAACCCCTCCCAAAGACTATCTAGGAGCGTAATCTGGGCGGAACGAGTGGGACGCTCTTCGCAGCACAGCCAGATACCCTGGGCCGCAGGTCCAACAGCCTTTTAGAGAGACACACGTGTGGGGACCCGGCTCCGAGGCCTGGGCGAGGTATAAGGAGGGGCATTGGTGCGCCCCAGGCTTCCCCGCTGTGCTAGGCGAATGGAAGCCCGGCGGAATTCGAGGGCACGGCTGCCGCTCCGACGGAGGGTCCCCTCCACTCGCGGCGCCGGGGATCCGGGCCAGAGGCGCGCAGAGTGGGGTCAGCACGAAGACAAGCCTCCAGACTGGCGGCCGGAGCCCCAGCCGATCACACAGGCGACCCTGGGGTGCGAGCTCCAGCCGCCGGACCCGTCGCCTCCCCCGCGCCTCACCCTTGGCCATGTGGCCCGGGAACCAACGAGCCACGTCGCGGCCGCCCAGAGGGAAGCTCTCCCGCCAGGCGGCCCGGACAGCGCTGCAAAGAGCGCGCGGAAACAGTCTCATGGCGCCGCCGTCCCGGAAACGCCGCGCCGCTGACGGACGGGTCCACCGCCTCCTCCGCCGCCGCCCGGAGCCCGGCCACTTGGGTTCCGGTCGCGAAGGTTCCGCGCGACAGCGGGCGCGTGCACGGGCGGGGACGAGAGCGGGACCGCACCGCGCGTTCTTGGGTGTCCGCTCAAGCGGTGCCAGCGAAGCGACTCCGACTCGTGACGACCTTACAGGACGGAATCGAACCGTAAAACCTTTGGGTTTGCGGAGCCTCATCTTTCTCACCCTATCCAAACTTTTCATTGTGAATTGAGTGAAGGTTGCGGGTTACAGCCAGCAACTCGTATACATTGCGTCCACCCATTCATTGCGATCCCGTCACTTGGGAGTTTCCGGGCCTCTATCCTGACCCTCCTAAATTGGGACCATGGCTAAGTGCTGTCCCTTTGCTCACAAATAGTTTACCATTCTAAAGTGTGCACACCTATTTCGGTGAAATCTGAGCCACCTGGTGCACCTACACTAGGCTGCTAACCACGAGGTCAGCAGTTCAAAACCATCGGCAATCATGTTTAGTCTCAGAAACCAACTGCGGCAGTACTCCGAGGTCACTGTGCGTAGGAATCAGCTCCGAGGCAGTGAGCTGGCGTGTGGGCAGTTTGATCCCAGACCCACAGGATGACTAAGGCCTCAGTCGTGGGTCTCCACGACGACGGCTGATTTGATCAGTTTCCTGGGGGGCAGGGGTGATGTCGGCAGTGAGTGCCCCAGTGGGCTGAAAATGCAGACCTGCACTTTATTCTGGATGATGGTCTGTGATTCAAGTTTCCCACTGCCAGTGGGGCACTAAATCTTTTTTCCTGAAAAGTAGTCCGTAGGCCAAATAAGTTTGGGAACCTATGCTGTCTTTCTGAGGAGAGCGAAGGCTCACCTTGCACAGGGTCTCCAAGGCTGTTGGTGTTTCCAGGGCAGAAGCCCTCATCTCTCTCCTGCTGACAACCTTCCAGGGTTGAACTGCCGACCTCATGGTCAGCAGCCCAACATGATTGGACAGCACCACTGTGGGTCTGAACTTCTGCAACAAGGTCAGGCTTTCTGTGGGTACACGTTCATCACACCTGTGGTCTCTGTGCCTGCAAGCTCCCAGGGCTTGGGGTTGAGTCCTCCCTGGTGCTTCCAGGGCAGCAAGAAGACACCTAACCACCTCAGACACCAGCCCTGCCTGGCGTCCCCTGCCAGGAAGGCTGGCCTGGGCCTGCCAGGCTCCCTCTGTGCAGTCTCCCAGAGGTGCAGGAACCAACACAACCCTCATCCTAAGCAGTGTGCTAGTCTGCAGTCGGGGTCTTTGAGTTTAGATGTTTACCTTCTCAGGGACCCTGGATGAAAATACCCAATCTAAGCCCACTGCTGCCACCCAAAACGGAACACAACAGCCCCTTCCTTAGGGTTCCTGAGCCTAGAAATCTCTACGGCCTCATCTTTCTTCCAAGAGAGGCTGTCAGAACCTCTGACCTTTGAGTTAGCAGTCCAATGCTTAACCAACAGTGGCAGCAGGGCACCTTCATGAAAACAAAACTCTTAAATTCCAGGTTTCTGTCCCATGAGACGAGCAGGCTACAATTCCTGGTTGGGTTAAGTCTACAGGAGGAAACTGGTCAGGGCAAGGGGTGAGGGCCTGAGGGAAGGGGCCTGGGGAGATGGAGGAGGACAAGATGAGCAGCCCTGTGAAGGCTGGGAGTGGCCGAGGGGAGGGGAGGGGGCGCTGAGTGACTATAACACATTTGTGGACAGAGGTGTGGGGGCTAGGAAGAAGCCTCTCACTATGTAGCCTGTGTAGCCGCAGTGGCCTGGACACACACCACCACCCCCATTGCCTTCAGGGGGAATCCAGGTTCCAGGCTGGAGCTGGATGCATTCCCCAGAAGTAACCCCTCCTCGGTTGCAAGGGCCCCCCCATTTCCAAGGCTGCATGGGAGTTGTGAAAGGGTGTGTGTTAGACTCCACTGTGGACTTGATTCCGACCCGATTCTGCGCCACCTGGGAGCCATGAATGGGAGCCTGCTGAGCAGTGGTGGGGCAGACTTGAAGTTTGAAGGGTCGATGCAGCCAACAGGGAGCTGAACACTGTGCCCCACTCAGTGACCTCACTGAGTGCCCTCACTGCTCCCAGGCCAACAAACTTGCCCTGCCCAGGGTCTCCATTAGCAGCTGCCTGGCAGCCACAGGGCAGCCACAAGGACTCCATGAACATGGGGAATGGCGGGGGGTGGGGGGGATCCCAGGACCCAGAAGAGCCCAGAATCCTGGGGTTCCCAGAAGGGAAGGGCTGTCTTGGAGAGCCTAGAGAGCATAGCTGCACACTGAGGTGGCTGGGGGGGCCAAAGGGTTCCAGGCAAGATGAGGACCAAAGACGGTGAGTGGGCAGCAGTTTGGCATCTTTATGTTTGCACAACTTTTTGTGTCCCCACCTCCAGGAGACCTGTGCCCATGCTGGGGCTCAGTCCACAGCTTCCAGACAGGCAGGAGGAATGAGAACAGCTGAGTCTAGGGGTAGGGGGGGAGATCCCTATCTCAACCTGGGGCATCCTCAGCGGGGTGCCAGTAAAAAGGGCCTAGGAGGGGCTCAGGCTTGGGGTGGCTGGTCCTCTGCAGCCTGATACAGGTTGATGAGCCGCTCGGCCTCCCGCTGCCCCGACAACAGCGCCCCATGCGTGGTGGAGTAAAAGGTCCGGTGTGTGGCTTCCCCCGCAAACATGATCTGGAGCTGCAGAGAGAGAGGCCCAGTCTGAAGGGGTGTGCCAGCTTGTCCCAAGGGGCTCCAGAGAGGGGCCTGCAGGGCAGGGAGTAGGCAACAAAAGGCAGGCCCTCCCACACCACAGCGGACAGGAAGCCTCAGAGAACAAGAGCCAGCAGTCACACATGGAGCAAACTTGACTACGCAATGGATAAAGTTTCCACATCGAAAGGCTTGGGCAGAGGATCTGGCCAGGGAGAGCACCCCAGAGAAAACCTCAAAAAGCAGGTGGGCCCCGTTCCACCCCCATGCCACCTCACCCCAACCCGCCAAGCCCTCGTGGAGGAAGAACAGGGCAGACCCGGCCAGCACTTGAGAACCCTCCCAGGGTGGACAAGGGAAGGGGCTTTGGGCTGCCATGGGCCACGCAGTATCCTTCAGACTCCTGTGGGCCATGAATCCAATGCTGGGCTCCCCGCCACTGTGCTGCTCATGAACAGTCAGTCGCTCCAGGGAGGTAATGGTTCAAAACCACCAACCATCCTGTGGCTGTCTACTGCCCGAGGCCACCCTTGGGGCATCCAGTTCGGCATGGGCTATGCTGTCCTGCTTGAGGTGACCCACCAGCATGGATTCAAAGGTCACCACCTCGTCGGTCATGGTGTGAGCGGGTCACTCCACTGGTTTAGCTGTTACCCAGAAGCCCCTCCTCCCAGGTGCTCCTCGTGAGAAAGCTGCAGCAGCCAGCTTCTACCAGGACCGCAACCCCGAGCCCTCTGTAGCTGCTCTGCCCTGACGCAGAGCCTGCCTCGTGAGCGGGCTTGGTTTGACTGGTGTAGCTGTGTCACAGGCGCCCTGGTGGCACAGCGGCTAAGGCCTCTCTTGCCACCAGAGAGGTAGGTGGGGCAAACCCACCAGCTGCTCTGCGGAAGACCCAGGCAGCAGTGGGCTTCCAGGGAAACAACAGCCTCAGAGGCCCTGGGGGGCACTCTCCAACCAGGTCTCCACATAGGCACTGCAGTCCACCCCACAGCCATGGCTTTCCTGCCCACAAGTTGGGGCAGGCTCTGGGCAGCTGTAGCAAGATCAGACAGCAGGGCTTCACCTTCCAGGGCCAGGTCACTGGGCCCAGCAGCCACGTGTGGCCATCCGCTGGGAGGAAGCCTGTGGCCCGCCCTCCACTGCCCCAGCCCCAGCAGCTCCAGGTCCCAGGTGCTGAGCGCAGACATCATGGAGCTGAAGGAGGGGTCCCCTCTGACCTGCAGAATCTATCACTCAATACAGCGCCCGCCTCAGCCCTGCATGGGGGCCTGTTACACAGCAGCAGAGATTGGACATGTTTTCAGACACATACAACCACACATAAGCCCCACATACACAACTCCACACCCTCTCAACACCACAAACCCATGCCCACACACATTCACACTCACTTATGTACTCACTCATACATACAACTCTACACTCTCACACAACCACTCAACCCCACACACTCACAACCACACACAACCCGACACACTCACAACCCGTCACACCCCACATACTTACAACTCCAAACTCACACACATTCCCATTCGCTTAGGTACTCACTCACACACACTCATGTGCACCCACTCATGCACTCACACCCAGACACACTTCCAACTCTTTCTCATACATTCAGTCTACACACAATCCTACAAATATGTGCACATTCACGCTCACGCACTCACACCCCCACACTCATACTCACACTCACAAGCATGCTCATTCTAATAAACTCCATTTCACGGATAATTCCTCCCTCCCTTTCACACAAAGAAACACCACTTCCCCTCCCAGCCCAGGAGTGAATGGTGTTTGCAGGTAATGTAGCACTGCAGTGCAATCATACCACATCTCTGGAGAACATCTGGGGAGGATGGGGTGGAGGATTGGAGGTTGGGGGCACAGAATGTAGAAAGCTCCAACCTCTTATCTTCCGTGCATAGAGCGCTCAGTCAATACTGCCTACAGCAGAAGACTCTGAAAAGTACCAAAGGTGCCAAAGCAGCAGACTGAGCAGAGGACCAGACAGCTGGGAGAGCTGCCGACGCTGCCGGCAGCATGTGCATTCCCGCGTAAGCAGGGCAGCACTGCAGGGACTGTTTTTGGTTTTACCTCAAAGGCTGTCCTGACATTCGGAGATGCACACCAGCCTGCCTGCAGATGACTTATCGTGTAAGGGGTCCCTTAAAAGCAGTCTGGGCCCCAGAAGCCAGGCCTGCTGTGAGCTGGCAGCTGTGAGAGGCACACTCCTCTCCATGCCGTGCACAGCTCAAGTTGAGCTGAAGTGGTACTGTCTGGTTTTAAGTGGCAGCATGAATGTGTCAGTGGGAGGGACGGTGAAGTAGAAGGTAAGGACCGCTGACATAATAAGTGCTTCTGCTGGGAGGGGGGGTGATGCCGATCTATGAGGCTTTGTCAACAAGCAGTATGAATTTGTTGGCTCTTTAAGCATGTCCTCGTATCACATACTGAAAATACAACATGCTTTAAAACTTAATTTTAAAAGGAAATTGGGCTCAGAGTCATGATCCCAGCCCCTGTGGCTCCCTTGCCTCCTCGCTCACGGATCTTTTCTAGTTGGGGGTTTGGGGGTGTCGTCTTACCTGGGCGTCCACGCTGGCTTCAGGAAGGGGCTGGGCCAGCAGGTCAATGTCCTCCCCAGTGCTGCCCACGGCCACATAACTGTAGGATCCCCGGGTGTACGGGGCACTGTGCCAGCGAGAGCGCAGCACACTCCGGGGGGCAGGGAGCTGGGGGTCCCCTGAGCCAAAGAGAGAAGCTGGGTAAGCCTGCACACGCCCCTGCCGCCACGCTGGCCACCCCATTCTCTGAGGGCTAAGCAGTTTCTTCCAGGGAAGCAAGCCAAGCTCGAGCATGCAGGAAGGGGCTCAGCTACACACCAGACACAGACTAGTGGGCACACGGCAGCCAGCAGCGCTGATATCCTCCCTGGGCTTTGGGGCCCCCAGCTGCTCTCTTTGCAAGGTCTGGCTGAAGGATGACTATGTTGGTTCTCTGCGGACAGCGCTGTGGTGACGCCTGCAGACGCAGAGCCACACTGCCCGTGTTTCCCACAGGCACCAGCAGGGGTGCCTACCTGTCACCGTCCGAAGGACCTGGGTGAGAGACTGTAGGACCTCGTCGTCAGACAGGGTTTCCATGAACTCGGACTCCAGCCCTGCGATGAACCCACAGAGGACATGTCCAGACCTGCAGGGGTGGCGGGGCGGGAGACAGGCTAGGAAGGGACCACCAAGGTTTATGTATTGCCCAAACCTCCGCCCCAGTTATAAACAAGACTCCTGTTCCCATCTCTTCCGTGCTCTACAAGGCCCAGCTTCCGATAGAAACTCACACCTGCCTACACACCAACACACCTCCTATGTGCCAACATGTCCCCAGTCCTCAGGCCCTGCCTGCAAAACCCTCCCACCATCTCATGAGGCAGGGGAAGGTAAGGGTGGGGGGGTGAGAGCCCAGGTCAGTTACCAGGGCTTTGGGGTGCTCCTGGCCCGCCCTGTGGGCAGAACCCTCCCCCAAACACCTGCTCTGTCCCTGTAGGCAAATATGGGCGGGCACGCACCCAGAGTGGGGCAGGACCAGGAAGCCACTGAGCTTCCTGACCCAGGCGTCAGGGGCCTGAGGCCCGGCAGCTTCCAGCGGCGATGAGCCCTCCCATACCAGCTGCATGCTCTCGCAGTCCGGACCCCAGAAGGGCTGCTCAAACTCAAGGAAGATTTTATTGTTGGTTCCGAAGCCCAGCTTCCTGATGGCGTCCACCTTCCCGGGAGGCAGCGGCGGCTGGAAAAAGGTGTCCAGATGCTCTTTCAGAAAGCCTGCAAGCACAGCGGGACATGACTGACCGGCAAGAGTCTCTTAAACCCGACTCCACAAGCAACATGGCCCCCACCCATGGCCCAGCAACGGGGCAGAGGAAGAGGCTCAGGGCCAACCCCTTCCTCCAAAGACCACCATTCACTCCTGGCCCCGTGGCCCCAAGCAGGCAGCAGCGAGGGCATCCCAGAAGTCAGCGCTGCAGCTGTGGGCCTCCACAGGCACCCTGGCCACCACTGGACAGGCAAGGATGGTGAGCAGCTTCTCATCCTGAGTCCTCTCAGCCTCCACAAGCCACCCAAGGAAGAGTTAGTTTGGAGCCCAGTTACCATACAACTTTTCCCTAAAAGCCACTTAGCAACCAGCTTGACAAACAGACAGACAAATGTCAGCGAACCAGAAGATGAAGTATTTGCAGCACAAGTACTAACAAGCCAATCACGGTAAGTTCCAAGCACTCTGACGAGTCAGTTCGGACACCCGAGTAGCACAGCTGAACACTACGACCTCTTGGCGCAGCCCCATCTGTCCGGCTGCAGCCCGCACTTTCCCTACAGAAACTTACCCCACTGTCCATTCCCGAGTGTTCGTGAATCACAGAAAACGCCGTGAGAAAGGGGGATATGAAACCCACCAACATTCCCAACAGTAAAGCCGGACAGGTGCTTCCAGTCACGTCAGAAAGCTACATGGCAGCAGAAAGGCACGAAACAAAAAGCCAAGCGCGCCAAACGCAGGAGGAGACAGCAGGGTGTTTTGCTCAGCACATCCATCCACAAGGCCCTGTGAGGAGACCACTGGCCTCTGGGGTGGCCAGATCAAGATCTCAGTGTTGGCTTGGGCACTTGCTAGTTTTACTAACCTGGGAACTTAACTCTCACCTGCTCTGTAACAGGCCAGCAAGAATGTGCACAGGCTGTCCCCACCCCCAGCCAGTCCTGGGGCTCTGGAGCTCAACTCAAGGCGATCCTCTGGGACATGGGGGTACAGTGAATGGTATGACCATTTGCTGGGCCTGCCTACACAGTAGGGTATGCTGGGCCCCTCTAGGGTTTCCCGTATGGGCTCCAATAAATGTCTTCCCTTATGCTTAAAAAACAAAGAATGTGCACAGGCAGGCCCAGCACCATGCCACACCCTGCAGGGGCCAGAGGTCAACAGCAACCCCTGCCAAGCCTATCAACCCCAGGGTTTACCCAGCTTTTTAAACTCTGCCCCCTGGATTTCCACCAGAAGCACCTGCTCTGGCAATGAATAGGGTGATGTAACTCCATGCACAGACCGACACGGTGCTCACCTGGACACCTGGCTGCTCAGGTCCTTTTTTTGTCACCTATGGGAGTGGACCACCTCCACAAGCCCTCCCCTTTCTGACCGCCTCCGAGTAAGCACACAATCACTTGCACCCTCTCTTACACTGGGGGCAAGCCTCGTCTGTCCGGAAGTCTCCTCCAGGTGGGCGGATGGCTGTTGCCCAGCCTCTCAGAAGCTGAGGTGTGAGCCCACCCAGGGTTCCTCCGAAGAGAGGCCTGGCAGGACACTTCTGGACATGCCCCCGAAAGTCCTGCATCTGTTGCACAGCTTGGCTCTGACACACTTAAGGCCCCGGAGTCAGGGTCACTTCAAAGAAAACAGTTGCAGGCCCACCTGGAAGCCACTAAGGTGAAGACAGGAGCCAAGCCCCAAGCGCCAACAGACCAGGGCCAGCAGCACCAGGTAGACACGTGCCTGCACTCTTGAGCATGGCTCAGCCTTACCCAGGGGCACCGTGAGGATGACGTGGTGGGCCAGGAAGCAGTCCCCGTCCTCACACTCCACTGACACGGGCAGTGTCTCCCCAGGCAGCGCCTCCTCCCGGAAGGCCCCGTTCCAGTGGATAGTCTTCACTGGCTTGTTGAAGATCAGCACGTCCCTGGGCAAGGAAGCTGCCAGGCGGCTCGTAAGTCCCTCGTAGCCCCTGAGGCACAGGAGGGCATCTGGGTAGGGGGGAAGGTGGAGGGGTACCGCCTGAAATAAACCTACAGACCCCCCTCAAAAGCCTCGAAAGCCAGAATCATCTGCTCAGAGGGACCCCAACATCCTCCTGACCTGAAGCACCCGCCTCTGCCAAGAGGGACCCACCACACCACCACACTACTGTGTGCACCCCTGTCCCCATCTGCCTGCACCTGGTGGTGGCCAAACTCCCTCTG